CCCCCCTGCCCCTCCCTGCTATACCCATTCCCCCTCTCCCTGCCCCCCAATCGATGCCCATTCCCCCTCCCCAAGTGATGCCTCTGCCCCCTCCCTCTGCTATGCCTATGCCCCCTCCCTCTGCCACCCCTGCACCACTCTACTCCACTTTCCCTAGGGTCCCGTTTCCAGGACTCCCTCCTCTCTCCCCCCCTCCAGAGAGACTGCAGCCCAAGAGTGCCTTACCTCCATAAGGAGGGCCCCGATGGTGGACTTCCCCACACTGAACTGGTTGCCCACCAACTAGTAGCTGTCTGGGGTGGTGAGCTTCTAGATGGCAATGGTGACCTGCTTCTCCAGGGGGATGGCAGGCCACAGGTGGGTATCGTGTTGTTGGAGGGCAGGGGAAAGCCAGGCACACAGCTCCAAAAAGGTGGCCTTCCATATGCGGAAATTTTGGAGCCACTGCTGGTTGTCCCACTGCTCCATGACCAGCCTCTCACGAGTCGGAACTGGTGTCCAGCCTCCAAAATGGTCTCTTCACTGTGGGGTGCTGTTGCCAGGGTTTTGCTCCCACATACAGAGAAAGGGTCTCAAGGATGAGCTCGGTGTCGAGTTCGTGCCGGGCCGTGAAGGCAGCCTGCACAAACTGCTGCACAAACTGCAACTTGGCCATGTGGGGCCATCGCATGTCCAGGGGCAGCTCCGGCTCCATGGCAGGAAGAATAATGCTGAGGTGTACAAATACTGGGCAACCAGAGCACACACAGCTAAAGCTTTGCTGTCCCTTGGAGAGGTAGGCAAGCACTCAGCAGAAGCAGAGAAATGGCTATCCAGGGTGGAGTCCCTTTAAGCACGTCTCTCAGCTAGCCTTCAGCAACAGCACTCGGAAGCAACTGCTGACCTAATGCCCTGCCTGAACTGGTTCCGGGTGGCCTTATATATGAGATAGCTTCCAATCCATGTGGACTCTATCTTTCGAAAAAGCAGATCGCTTTTTCAATGCGCTTTTGCTGTGTAGATGCTCTCTTTCGAAAAAAGAGATCCTCCGGAAAAGGGCTTATTCCGGAGAATCACGTCTAGACTGGCGCTTTTCTCCGGCTTATCCCCAAGCCGGAAAAAAGCGGCAGCCATGTAAATGCAAATGCCGCGGGGGATATTTAAATCCCCCGCGGATTTGCAATTGCAATGTGTCTCATTAGCATCCCTTTTCCGGAAAGGGATGCCAATGTAGACACAGCCTAAATGTTTTTTGCTTGTTTGTTTTACATTTCTCTTGTAACCCAAATTTAATACTGAAGTAGGTTAACTCACTGCCACAGTTCCTCCTGATGGTCAATCCAAGAATTAGTTCTTACAGATCCAGTGCACCCTCCTCCAAATACATCTCACCACTGATACTGGTACCCCCTTTTTTTTCAACAGAATTTTCTTCCCGTTTGTTTGGGGAGGAGGGTGTTCAGTATTTTTGGTTAAACCATCTGGCAACTCTACTGGGAGTGGATGGCAGAGGCCTGTAACTGCAGGGAACTCAGTGCAGCTGCTGGGAGCCTTGGTGAATTCCCCGCAGTTCCTGGGCCACACTGTTAGTTCCCCACAACTCCTAGCCCCGAGATGAGTTTGGGAGCTATGAGGAGCTCTGTGCTGGGGCCAGGAGCCAAGGCTCTCAGTATTCACAAATTTCACCATACACAGTGGTACCAGTAATGTATCCACTGCAAATGGCCAAGGTTTCCTGTATACAACTTAAGGCATTAAGAGCTCAACATTATTAAGGCAATGTATTTTAGAAAACAGGTAAATAAAAGAGACATTTAAATAAGCAAGTTATAACATTTTTATTTAAACTTCTAATAGGAATTACTAAAAATAAGTTATTTGCACACTTTGATGTATTAATTTAGTAGCAGATGGTATTTTCCATTACTTTATATTAATATATATTAAAAACTCTGTTATGTGAAAACAAGGACAATTTGTGTTTTAAATATTAATCCACAGTTAGGATCAGAAGCAGAGTCTGAATTTTTATTGCTTGGCAACCATATCTTCAAGAAAGTTAGGAGTATTTCCAGCTGTTGCATTCCTGAAGGCTTAAACTAACTCATTTGCTGAACTTCTTTAAAGTAAAGGTTTTAATATGTTTTATCTTTGTTATATTTTGTTTTCAGTTGCTTCATTCTTTTTTAGCAACAGAGGTTTCTGTGATAGTGTACCGTTTAACTTTTAAAACAAAAGGCAGAAGTAAGGAGTGGTGTATGGAAGTGGGAGGAGAGCAACCTAGAATGGGAGGAAGACCTGAACCAAGAGAGATTAATTAAATCTATCAAGTTATTTTAAAGCACAGAGAAGATATAAAGCAAAACTAACTAGTGTGTACAAATATTTGAGAATTTTAGCTCTGAGCGAGGAGTAAAAGCAATTGGAAACCCATAACCCCTGGTTTTTATCCTGGCTTTGAGAAAAGAGTGTGTGTGGGGGGGTCATTATCTGCTCTTGCAAAACCTGGATTTATTTCCCTGGTGTCTGTTGTTTTTGTCTGCAAACCAAATGGATTGCAGGAGTGCCCTTGCCTGCTACAGTTAACTGTTTCTGGACAATTTATGTGTTACTTCATCAATTCTAGGTGTTAATCTGCTCAATCTTGATTTTTCACTTTACAATTCTTTTTTATCTACTTCCTTGCAATCATGTTGTGACTCCTGTCTCATTGTGTGGTCTATGAACTGTTCCATTTTTTATTTCATTTGATTTATGAATTCAGAGTACTGTTTGCTGTTTCTCTCTCTTGGGCACTTACTTCTCCTGTTGTAACAGGAACCAGCCTAAGCCTCTGTTTAGGATTTATTAGAACTAGGCTCTTATCCTCCAGTGGTGGCCAATATGGGTCATTCCATTGCAAAACCTATTCCAATCACCCCAAATTTCATATTTTAATTTTACTAGGGCCATCTTTTTTCATTACTGTACTCATTCTTTGTCCGCTAC